GATACCCTCTAGATGATAGTTCTTGATTACTTTTTGATAAATAATTCGTTCTTATTGCGAAATAGGAGCACTATTTATCAATCTGCAATAAAAGACGTGAGGCAATTCTGTCAAAAATTTTTGAGGCGAAATACCCAAAAAGAAGTTTATAAAAAAAAATCTGAATTCTATGTCGTACAGAATATGTAGGTGTTTGATCTCATTCCTCATCTTTGGGCTATGGGATAAAAACTAAGAAAGAGAACAGGACAAGTCATGAAAAAATCCTATTCATTTCCCAATAAAAATGATTCGGATGCAATCGCTGCCACAGATTCCCATCGAGCACTGTCCTTTTCGTTTACCCACATTCTCGCCGTTCCCATGCATAACGGATCTACTCCAAAGACCTCTCAAGTTCAAAAACTTTCCTCCAACAAAACGAAATCTTATCAACCGCGTAAACTTCTCCAATAAACCGGTTAAATATAGGTCCGGCGGCAACGTCGCCACACCCCCATCCTCCTGAGTCAACCCCCTCAGCACCAAGTGGAGGATGCACGTGCATTTCGCGCAGCGCAGGGTTGCTGCACTCGGATCGATACCGGCTGCTGCCGGCCGTCGCCGGCGTCGGCTAAAAAAGAGACGCCGCCGACGCCACGGGGGGTTGAGGAGGAACACCCAAGGAGGACACGACGCCGATGACACTCGTGGTAGCGGTGCAACTTACACGGTTGGTTTCCCCGTCTGTGGCAAACTATCTCCATATGAATGGAGGAGGTCTCATTCAGTTTTAATTGGCAGGAGGAATGCAAAAAATTGCCGCCGATAAGTGTGGGAAATGTGGAAAGTTTTGTGTAGTTTGATGGTTTTTCAGTAGCAAATTCTCRTAGCCAAAAAAATCRTACTCAATCTATTTGAATTATTTTTTTGAATTTAGTAAAYAAAACTTTGTCCAGGCTTTTTGAGGCCCTGTATTTCAACAAAACGGGGATTAGGTTCAATGTTGGTTCATCATTGGCCGCTTTGGCCTGGCGTTTTTCTATTGTCTCTCCTTCTTGCCACGGACTCAAAAAATATATGTGACTATTGTCACAAAGGAAAATTGAGAAAAAGTCACATTTTCMCTTTCCTCYTCACTGGATTCATTATTTGTAAGATTCCGGAAAGTTTCACCGTTTGACTGTTGTTACATCKGGACYCAACAATAGAGGARAAATTGCAAGCTCTTTTCATAAACTCCAAATTCACTTAAACGAGAGGTAGTGAGGAATTTAARATCCCAGTACAAACGAATCGCGAGTCCCAMATTTCATGAGGACGGAGGATAATAGATGCACTAGAAAAGTGCCCGAATGGCTACCAAGAGGATGYAGAAGAARCCTAGGAAGACCAAAGACTAGGCGGAAGGAGGATTCAGAAAGTAGCGGGAGTGAAATGGATAAGTAGAACAGTTGACAGAACCAGATGGAGACAACTTGGAGAGGCGTATGTCCGAGGATGGACCGAGACACTTTCGGTTTTGCTGCCAACTAGCTGACATTGTGAAATAGATAAAATTTTCATTTGCTTATGAAATATTTTAAAAACTTGAAAAGCAAGGAACTGCACAAAATTTACTCAGGAGGTCATGAATCAGTCCAAATTGGAAAATTTCTAAGTGAGAAATGGGAGTGGCCGATCCAAGCCAGTGCACCAATAGAAAATCGGCTAGATTTGCTCAAGAAAAATGTGTTGTAACATCTGAGCAACAACCGAATGGAAACTGTTGTGTGGCAGCAACAGCAGAAAGCAAGAGATCGTCTACCTCCACACCAAATCGCAATCAATCTACCAGTACCCACATAATGAGTTGATAAACCCAAGTTTGCGGTCCTTCGAACCATTACCTGACTCATGCCTGCACCACCCCACACCACACTTCTCTCGATCCCGCCGATGCAGCAGGAGCAGGCAAGCAGCAATCCATCGCCAAAACGATCGCAGGCAACGGTGCAATTACCAAAAGAACGGCAACAGAGCGACGTCGCTCGGCCCCCTTCTGCCCCCGCGACGCCCCACGGACGCCGCCGTCGCGCCGACGTCGGTTCGGAGTTCTTCTGCCGTTCGAAATTGTATGCAACTCGTTCGGCGGTGCAGCGCGTCGCTTGGCGCGGCTTTTACTCTTCGCGCCAACACCAAGTGACCAGTGATCAATCTGCACTATGTGACTAGTGATTCTGTGATCTGTGATTATCACCAAGGGAAACATGGCTATCAACTTCTCGGCCTCTTTTGCCGCCTGCCTGGCTGCGGGACTTAAAGTGCCAAGACAGATTATGTACTGCATCTCGCAAGGTAGGAGGACACCAGCCCCCGATCGCCTATTCCCAAAACTAACTCAACCACTTTGAACTCAGCTTGGGGAAAACCGGCTTTTTTCCGAACTTTTGCCTCTCAAAATTTCACAATTGGGGAAGGTCTGCAACACCGAAACTACCCATCTGTAACTCTAAGTCTCGCGAGCCTTGCCAGAATCCCTCTGAACCGAAATGCCGATTTATTTCATTAATTGATGAGTGAAACAATAACTTCCAACAGAACTCAAAATCAAACGCCCCCTCAGTTTCGCGTTTTACCATTTTAGCAAAAAAATAAATACGACCAACAAAGACAACAAACCAACCAAACAAACAAGAAATTAATCTAAAACAACATATTTTCCCACATATTTCTTTCGACTCCAGTGCTGAAAAGTGGGCAATATATACCTACTTTTATCAAAATAAACGATGTCGGTTCATCTACGCGAAGAGAAAACTGCGAAATCGGTCGCCAGTCTTTTGAGTGATTTTCGCACACCAAACAAGCTCATACCAAATAAATTGTTACGTCAGTGTTCAATAAAAATAGAAAAATTTATCCGAGCAGAACAAGTCACTTTACACCACCACCCTATTTTCATAGGTTCATCCTGTTCTAAACAAATTTCACTGAAAAAATCGAAAATTGAAACCCACGAAAAATTGCATTAACCTCCTGTTAGCAATTGTTTGAAATTCATGTTTCAATTCGAAAATTATTCCTAAACCATGTGAAAACCTCATCAAATAACAGCTGAACTTTGAAAGACCCTACATTATTCCCATTTAGTTCAGGTTAACCAACTGATCATCAGTAAACATAATCACACCGCATTTCCCTTATCTTCTTCCCAAGATTTGCTAATCAAATTTTCTGATTTGGGTCTTCCCTGGGGAAATCAAAATCTCCAAAATTTTCGCATAAACCCGGCAAAATTTCTAAAAATATCTCATTGGCACTCATCAATTGTTGTTAATTTGTTGTTAAAACATATACTTAAAAATAAAAATGATAAACACATATTAGGCGCCTACTACTTATGGTTAAGTAACCGTGTATGATAAGCACTTGCAATCGGTAAAGAAAATATTTATCCTTATGACCAAGAAAAGTATTTAAATTTAAAACAAGGAGACCTTTTTCGAAGAAGATGAAACCAATTTAATTAGTTGTTAACGTGCACCACCACAATTTCTAATTTTAAGTATTGTTRCAACACCATGATGAACGAACTGTTTTGGTCATTTTTAAGATTGAGAGCCCAAACCACAAAAGTTTATTAAAAAATACTTTTGAAAATATGTTCAAACACGCACTTAACACATTTGGACATCGACATATATCTGAGTGGGTATGTTAACACAATTAATTAATTTTGTTTCAAATGGTTAAACAATTGATCGTATATGTTTTAGCAACATTTCGAAAAGTAACTTATCTTTTAATAAATAAAAAAAAWAWTTWWWAAAAATAATAAAAAGTTAGTAATCGTGCATTTTCACATGAAGTAGGAGGAAATRAAAAAATCGTCAATTAACAATTTTAACTGTTGCATTGTTYCACAACTTTGCATCCATTTTTGGTCAATAAAAATCTTTAAATTTCCYAAAAAGACCGYAAAAATTCCAATAGTTCAAAGTAACTAAACCAAATAAAAGACGCTTCTAGAGCCAGTTGTACTGGTGTAAAAATGACGGGTACCTACTCTTAATCATGTAAAGCATCAAGTTTTCTTTATCAAATATCAGAACATTTTCTTAAGGTTAAATTAATTTTCATAGAAACCTCCTGTAATTAATAAATATATGTAATGATGTTCAAAAATCAAATAAAATTATTTCAAAATATAGTCAGAAATACAGAGAATATTATAACAGCAAGTATTAACTTAGCAAGTGTTTTCAGAACTAAGTAAGTTATTAATAAAAAGTGCATGTTTGTTAATAAAGTTATAATAAAAGTTGGTGACGAAAAACTTAGCTTTGTTGTTTTACGCAAAATGAATAAATTAGTTGCTAAAATTAAAAACATTTTCAAATATCTTTGTAGCGGTTCAGTGCACTAATTTTCTGGAATATTTTTTTCAGAAATTGTCGACTTTTTGATTCTTTGTTTTCCAACGCCCCAATAATAAGCAATGCATTTCTAGACTTAAAACGGATATTCCTTCCTCCTGTTGTCGATAATTCAAATGTGAATTAACATTCGCGAATTCCAGCATACTATTGGAAACTTTGCATGTTGGAGCATTAAGAAAACAGTTAGTTATAAGCACATAAAATAGAGTTCAACTAAAGCAGACAAGAACGAAGGAAAGGTTCCATATGTCCAAAGAGAATCCGGATGAAAAAACATACGAAAGCATAATTTTGTAGATTCAAAGTTGGAAAAGATGCAACGATCAAAACTGGCTCAAAAGACGAGCAACAATGAAGGATTAGAAAAAGCATCGTAAACTCCAACTCCCTGGAAATGTGGGAAACTGTAGGTTATCGATCACGATCCTTACGCACTAGGCGTAAAGTTTTCCACAGCGTGCGGGTCAGTGAATCCTGAACTTGCATCAACGGGAAAAGAAAATTGCAGGAAAACGCAAGGGGCTGGAACAGACGGACGAGATTCGATTTTTCCCGTCTGGTTGGCAATGATTAATTATGTGGCTGGGGTTGGTTGAACGATCGGGATGCATCCGCAGCTCGGTGGAGGAATTTATGACGATTAAACTGTAAGGCCTGGGAACACCGTGGATTAAGCGGTTAGAAACTTGGCGCTTGCTAAAAATGTTAACACCGACGTTCTTTTTGTTTATGAACATGTTCTAAAGGGACTTTGATTTTGAAAAAAAAAATAAGTAGATTGGCTTTTCATGGATTGTTTGGACGGCAGTTTGTTCCACTATTATTTTGAGAATACTTTGCAGATTTAACCGAAAAACAAGTAAAAAATCCAAAAGCATCAACAAGTAGTTAATATTTCACAATTAAATCCAATGAATATATTATAAAGTGGTTAACACAAGAAATATGTGCGATGCTCACCAAGTCCGTTAACAAAGAACTTGCTGAGTACGTTTTGTAATAATTTGCGTGAATATGAAAACATTAGGGATAACTCGAATGATATTAACTATATTAAATTCTATAATTAAAAACGAAATACAAATATGTACATGTCATCAACTATTCGCGAATTTTAGAAAGGCAACATACTAGTTTTTTTTCGGTAGTATGAATAATTCATTTATGACACAGAATCTGATCAATAATTGAGCAGCAAAGTCGTAAAGCAGTTTGTTGTTTAAAGTATTCAACGCCATTTATTTAAGTAATGAAGTTTATTTTTAGTAATAAAGTAATGGTCGTCAAGCAAAAACTATGATGTTCCTACTCATATTGTTGTGCAGACGCCTCAGGCTTTCAGCTAATGATGAAACTACAGAGAGAAACAGCTACATTGAAAGAAAATGTACCAGCCATAAAAAAGCAGATATTGAAATATGCAGGTTTCAATATAATCTGAAGAAGAAAGAAGCATTGCTCTTGTCGTTTTCCATTAATGAAATCAATCATTAAAAGCTGAAATATTGAAGACTCGCTGGAGGTCATCAACAGTAGACCATACATTATTCAGGCAAAGTTGCTGTATAGCTGAGCTTTATTGGCCATCCACGAAGCCCGTAATTTTGCAATATTTATTGATTGGGGAAAGGAGGGATGCGCGATCCGGGTAAAAACGGCGCCGTTTCGAGCGAGGTGTGAAAAACTGGCTGGGAAATGCATTTTTCCCAGACGGAGCACGCGATGCAGTTACGAAAATGGCCGTTAGCGTCGTAATGAACACACAAAGGAAATAAATGGATTTTGCGAGACCGGTTGTGTGATGGAAGACCTTTAATGAATTGTGTTCAATATAATCAATTAAATTACCGCATTTCAAGCCTAAATAGCAAATCAATAGGATGGCAATCAATAATTAAAAGGCACTCGATATTGTCGATAATATGCATCTAATGATCAGCTTAACAACTGGCACACTAACTATTAAACAGCCATCAAACCGCACATGCAAACTTTAGCTGTAAGCAAGACAACAACAGCTTTAAGAAAAGGGCGACACTGTACTATTTTAGAACGTTTTTAGCTCCAGAAACGCTCGACCTAACGGTATTACCAACTGAACAATTCCAGACGTATGAAAGAACACCATATAATTCCCATACCAAAACAAAGACTAGATAATACCGAAGCACAAAACTGCAGACCATCACGTTGCTGCCAGTGTTAAAGTTTTTGAAGACATTATGAAAAAAAGGGTTGCAAAAACTATTCGGAAAACATAAACGTTCTATAAACTTGGCTTTACGTTGAAACAGTGGACTCTTGGTTTTTTCTGAAAACACCAGTTTTTTCATGGACATTAACAAGGCCTTCAACAGCGTAGGACCCAAAGGACTTTTCGAAAGAATCCCTAACTTTTTTCATGTGATTTTTTAAGCTTCTATAGAGAAATTTCCAAAGCACTTTTTACGTAGAATCCACTAATGGAAGCTCCGGTTGTATCAACCAGTTTCATAGCTATTAACAAAAAATACATATTTCTTCTTCGTGTTGAAGAAGAGTGTCTTCGACGACGCTCTGAACATTGGATCAAATTTGACTGGATCTTTAAATTACCTTTCCAAAAATACAGCAAAGTCTATGTTTTGGTAAACTGTTCTATGAAATAGAGAAGTTTTGCAAGTTTCAGGCACCGACGTCAGTTTTTTGGCCCACTCTACGCAGAGTGTACTGTAGAGACACCCTGTATGTTTTCATAAATTTTAATAGGGTTTTAAATGGTTAAACATGTTTTAAAAACGCACAATATTGCTAAATAACGACAAAAAAACTATTTTTTTCGGAAATCCCTTAAGCTTCGACTCAAGTCGAACTCAATGATTGGGCTAAGTATATCGTATTGTTTGAAAAGCCTTTACATATCATATATTTATACCT